CCAAAGGCACAGAGATTAACCTCAACTTGATCAAGTTCAGGGACTTCTCTGAAAACCCATCATCTTCCAAACTTACAGAACACAGTAGACAACAAGCACAAAGTACACTGCCAGCTCTCAAGATATAGGATCTTGATGCTATCACACCTTCTTGACATCAAAACTGATAGCGCAAACTACTATTTGAACTGTACACATTCTCAACCCCATTATCCTTAGCAGTGTGGCAAACTAAACAAAAGAACATACACACACCCCCCGCAGATACTTATAATTAGATTTTGTCTCCTGAAATTCAATTATGCTTTTCACTATATTTAATAGCTTTATTTATTCACCTTGTTTCTTTTTGCTGAAGGAAAAAAAAAAAAAAAAAAAGAAGAGTGTTAGAATACCATGCTTGGGACCTTCTGGAAAAGCAGTGCTTGGAATAGCAAGATCACGTATCTTTGGAGCTGGCTGGATCTTGTTCCCAGGCGTATCAAGAAATGCTCCAATTAAATTGAACTAATTAGATTTTTTTAGGCCATTAAAGTTAACATATTCAGTTCAAAATGAGAGACAAGAGACTCCTCTGGGTCTCATAACATTGAAACAAGTTCCTATTCTATCAGTTAAGCATTCCAGGGAAGTCATCTACACAAAATGCAGTGACAATGTATCAAACATGCTGCATCCAGTCCACCATAGACCCTGACCCATCACTTCTGAACTCCTCTCCCAAAGTCAACCTCTATATACGGCTATGGAACAGTGTTTTAAATTGTGATCAGATGATGCTTATTCAGACTTCTATATGAAAAGACACACAATTACCCATCCATCTTAAATCAACATTTCTACTGGGGAACGGGGGGAAGAGATATTTTAAAAGTTTTTTTAAAAAAAGTTACGAGCAGAATGCAACTCCCCAGTATGAAAGTAGTAATTCATCCTCTGCATCCAATCTCTCTCTTTCAGGAAAAAAACATTCTATGAATTTTCATGCCTATTAATTTGCAACCAGAAATGATAAATCACGGATCATATTTAATAGTAAGGGGAAAAGATCTGCTTTATAAGGAACTTTCCACTGCACAGCAAGCTTATCTGATGGAGGAAAACATTTTAGCCTGGAAGAGCCACGTGGGCCCTGTGTCTTGTCACATCAGTATATAGTTCTTACATCTTGTGTCCAAAAGGCAAAATTCAGAACATGCACAGGGGAAAAAGTCCTGCTGGGGTTGCAGCCCATTTAATTTCTGATAAGATCCTGATTCTCTAATTAGGTAACCCAAATAAACACAGTCTCAAAACCACTTAAAATACAGACTTCATGCTTCTTATGCAAAGGGTACTGAAAGAGAGATCAATGGATGACTGGCACAGGTGTCACAATGATTATTAAAAACCAGACGTATAAAGGAGAATAGAAACACTGTGCTTCATGAATGCGTTGCGTATTTCCATACAAGTATCTCAATGCCTTTTTCCTGATAGATACTGTAAATTGTAAGTGAAGCACCTTAATCTAGACCACACATTTAATGTAGACAGTAAATCTGAGAAGTCATAATTTAGAAGTTTACCACAATCTGCTTCCATTTGAAAGACTTCTGAGTTGCACAAAGATAAAAGACACAAGATCCTGTAACTGAAAGTTTTCAGAACTTTATACCTGCACTTTTTCATTACAAGAGAGGGGTTTTTTTTTTGACACCCATCTCCCCTTAACCTTGTTTCCTCTTTTATCTTCAGTTCTGAAATAGTAACAACCACCTTTTTGGTCAAATTCTGAAGTTTAAGAGACAATCTAAATCTAAAGACCTACACATAGCATAGCTGTTAACTGTTTGGTGTTGGGAGCTATCTTTTGTCCCTATAAGCATAAGCCACAAATGTTACACCTGCCAATTTCAGAGTTGCCAGTGAGAAGGAAAACTCACTGAAGAACAAGACCATTCAGATAGTCTTTGCTGATAGTTGATCAGCTGTGGGCCACCAACTAAAACGTTTTCTTCCACACAATTCATCCTGAACACAATCTCCTACTCTACCAGAAATTCAGGAACTTTTCGACAGTTTCATAGGGCTCTACATTTCACTTCCACCATATTTCTTAACAGAGAATATGAAATTTTTCTGAAGACTTAGCTGCAAATAAATGCCTGAGAGTAAACTATTCAGTCAGACTTGTACAGAGTAAGTTAAAAACAGCAATAATGGAGTTGAGTTACAAGTAGAGTTAAGTTTAAAAAGAAAAAAGAATCAGGAAAAGACCGTATCAAAATCTTTTCCTCCTCCTCCATACACAATACAATAATTACTTTTATCTCGCTCAAAACCTGATCTGAATCCAGAACCACTTACTGACAGGAAAGAAACAAACTCACCAACCATGTTAACTGTAGTTTACACAGAGATAAAATGCTTTTTTATCCTTAAATTAACAGCACTCCAAATTAAAAATTTTAGACCTATTCTACCCAAACTAATAGCTCCACATTTACGGTTTCTAAATTTCTCTCCACAGATTCCCCCAGTGCACATCAACATTGCTCAACTTCAACAGTGAAACTCCACTAATTTTTCACTTCCCGATTTTCCTACCTTTGCACAACATAATATACAGACAACCAACAGAATACATTTTAATATGAAAGATTTCTCTTCCTCTTTGTCAAAACCCATCTCACCTCTAAAGCATATAGGTTTGAGCCAAACACAAGAGCTACTTGGCACTATTCTTTAAACCTCACACTTTCAGAAAGAATGAGTGCTCCTGAATTGAAGTACAAATAAGAAGATGAATTTGAAGGAACATTTAAGATGCAAGGAAAATCAGTAAACACAGATTTTAAATGCATCTGAGCTCCATTATCTGCACCAGCATATTTACTAGTAACTATACATCTGTACAACTGAATTCACCTGCAACTTCCAAAATTAAAGCAGATGTTAATGTTAATTCTGTGGCAAGGCCACATTTCCTTCTCTGAGCATTGTTAAAAATTGTAATGATCTGCTGACTTGTGAAAGAAATTTTCCTCTGAAAAATCCCCAAGGGCTTCTTCCAAGCACCACACTGAGAGCAGATGGCCAGCATCAAGTCTGCAATTACTAGTCTGGCCTGGCAGTCCCCACAGATCACAATGATACTCTTTTCTTTGCATAGATGCGGGGAGGGAGCAGCTTGACAGATGCAGACAACAAGATATCATAAGCAACAGCACTTTCCACTAAAAACATACATTCAATTTCTAAACCTGTCATATACTCTTCCCATTAATTTTCATTTTACATTTAGGTTTCCCCCCTTTTTTTCTGTAACATTTTTTTTCCAGCTACTGCAAGTTTTTCAAACAAGGTGGCAGGAAATCAGTAACATTAAGTATACATTGTCAAGCATTGCCAGAGGTGCAAACTTCATGAACTGTCTATTGGTGCAACTTTCCCCCTCTTTATTTTAGAGAAACCTCAAAAGCAGCTTTTAGCAGAGATCTACTAAAAGCAGGCAAAAGGACAGAGTTATTAGTTAACTGATAACATGCCTAACAAACTTGCCATTGTATCAGGGTGCCATCCCTCTACCCTGCCCCCAAGAACAGTTGCTCTGTTCTCCTCTTTAGCCAGGAGAACATCTGATGAGGAGGTGCTGTTTCATTTCCTCTCCTTCCTCCCACACCTCAAATGGGGAAGCCCTCAAATGGGGGGAGGGGAGAGCATGTTTTTAATTCAAATGCTGCATCTTAAAATACTATTGTGCAATACTTGGGTGAATCTGATTGTAAATCTGTATATATACACACCACGAAAGCACTTTATTCCCCTTACATCTTCTTAAAAAAGAAAAAGCAAAGAAAAAGCAGTAAGGCTTCAGCCTTAATAACCATTACTATTCCAGGTTAACACCCAAGAATTTGAGTATTTGAGCAAAACCTTTACTTTGCCAAAGCTAATACAGGTTTAGAAATGAAAGTAACCAGAAAGCAAGCTATGGGGACTCTCCTATGGAGTTCCTTTCTAACTGACAGATGCAACAGGAAGAGGGTGGAAAGGATTTCCTTCCTTGTGTGCAAAGAGGCCTGACAGACTTAACTCCGAGGCATTCAGACTTCTCCTCAGGAATGCTCAATCTCCCCTGTAGATTTCTGGCTCTTACACTGATTCAGCATTCCTTACGTCATTTCTACTAATTCTTCCTGTTCTTCCTCATTTCAGCTACCCTTTTTGAAAAATCTACCAGGCATAGGAAGGTGGTAGAGAAAATTATATCACAGTCCTGTTGTACCTTAGTCTTGAAAAATCTTACTGGGAAGTAAGTCTGTGCAAGAAGAAAACCTCAAGCCTTATTACTGCCTAGTCTCACTCCCACTCAGGCTTAATTCCAGTGACACATTCCATACAGAGGGTGCCAGTGTTAGGGAGATGCTACTACCTTAGAGTCTGAACCCCTCCCTGATAAGATCAACTTTGAGAAATCACAATTTAGTCCAAACTATCTTTAGATACTGTTGATTCTCCTTAAAGATCTTTGACTATGTGTCAAATGCCATGCAATAAATTGTAAACTTATTTTCCACAGAAGAAAGAAAAGATAATACACCCCATATTCCTCCCAATGAGTAAGCTTTCTTTGATGACACACACATTAAATAGCAGAAAGCATTGTCCTCTCATCAACTGCGTCAAATGTTTCTCTGCTTTTACCACCTGTTTATCAAGTACTGTAGTAGGGGATATTACTTCCCTGTATAAATCTGGCACTTCCTGCTGCAATTATCAAAAGATCTAACACAAGTACCAAGCTTTGTGGCAGGGATTCAAGTTAACGCACACAACTCATGCAGAAGTAAATTCATTAAACCTCACCAAAACAATTACTTGGTCCAGACAGCAAAACAAAGAACTGCATGCACTCAACAGCTTTGGAAAAGTACTGTTATTTTGGGAAACATACCTTTAAAACATTTTGGATCATTTCTCTTAGAAACATCCAAAACTTAACAGTGTCAACTCACCTTCCACACTATCAGAACAGGAGGTACCAATCCCAGTGTCCCCGCTGTCGGAAGCTATACTGTGTCTTCTGACAGGATTGCTTTGACTGCTTGATGAAATGGTTGTGGACTGCCACAGGGATTCAGTACCAGGTAACCATCCCACTGAGGAATAATCTGAGCCTATAAAGAAGGAAGCCAGAAGTCTGTCATTACAGATACAGTACAGAAGTCAACAACAAAATACCGGTCAAGATGAAAACTGAAGCCTATATTTCACAGTTCAGGTTTGAGCCAGACTCTGTGCCAATGTTTGGGGGGCTTTTGTTTTTTACTGAAATCCTTTTTTTAGGTGGAAACTTTCCAAAAACTTCCGGTACATACATTTTTATTATTTAAAAACATGACCCTTAACCTGTTCTGGCACTAACTTTAACAAGACATTTATTATACAACTCCTATTCTAAAAGTGATTCTCAACTCACAGCAGAATTTTGCCTTGCAAGCGTTTAAATAGAATCAGAGACACAAACGAATTTTATGACAGAAACCAGTTAAAGATTTGGCCAGTGAAATACAGTCATTTCCAACTGTGTGTAAAGCACATGACCTAGGTGATAAAGCCAGCAATTAAATTGTTAACACTGATATCTAAAGTAATTATGTTTCACTCTTATCACTGGTTTTCAGTTATCAAAAGATACACTACCAGCTCAAGCAGGCACGTACTAGGCAGACACAAGCTGTCTTTGTAAGACATTTATCATTTATCCATCTAGGTTTATTTTGGTTATTTTAATTTATTTAAATAATCATTAAAATATTAAATTTTAAAGCACAATTCAGTGCAGCAAACAGTTTCTCTGTTCAAGGAATTTTTGAGAATATCTGGCCTACTTTATAGTCAGTCTCAAGGGAAAAATACACCACAGAGTACAACCCTAGAGACCATTACAATTTCCAATAGTCAATATCTAAACCTGTGCATTGTTTACAGGCAAAATACTGATCATCATGTTCACACTCCAAAGCAGCAGAGCCACATAAAGATCCTCGGGAAAAAAAACATGGCCTGGTCTTGATTTTATATATAATCACATACAAACACCCCCTCTAGCAGTTAGCTTTGCATAACACTTTCAGCAGGAAATGACTCATGAAGTATCAGTTCACATACAATGTCTCTTATGCTACATACGGTTATTTTTAGGTCATTTAAACATTTTCAGCAGTGTCCATCCAAAGTTGTAATTTGCCTCTGCAAAGACATCTGCAGATCATTGCTATTTCCAGCTGTACTTGTTTCCCAGTAAATTAAATATTTTAGAAAAGGATGTAAAAATGAATACATGTGTGTATAACCTACCCCACATACACATGAATTCATGTATATTCCCCATATAGCATATAGATCTGCTAGTCAAAGTGATAACAGCTGCTCACCAAGTCACTTGCAAATTGAGGAATACAGTACAGGCTTCCTTTCTGTATGCACTAGTTAACTCTAAAATGGCATCTAATACAGTCTACTCTCTGTCAGTAGGTTCTTGGAGGTCATAGATATGCCCGTCCATCTCATTTGTCTCAACTTCATTCTCCTTTGAGGTTACCGCCCCTTCTTCTCTTTAACACATTTTCCTATCTTTTCTAACAGTCCAGAATCACTCAATTCTCCTTTCCCTTCATTTTATTTTAGCCATACCTTGTGCAACACATTTCCTTCTCTTCCTTTTTGCTTTTCCTCCCCAAAAGTCTCTTATCTCTTAATTATTCCATTGACTAGCTTTCAAGTGCAAGGGTGAGGCAGCAGAACAGAAGATCAGAAGATCAGAGGAGCCAAACATGAATGAGACAGCCATGGCTCACCAGTCACACCCTGTAAGGAGGTTCCAGCCAAGATCCTAAGCAAATACCACTCCAGGTGTCATTCAGCATACCACCCTCTCTGTGTCATCATCTAACATACTGAAATGTGATAGTTTTGCATACAGCTAGTGAGAAACTGGGACATTTCTCCCTCTCCTACCATCCAGCACATTTTTCACTGCACACTCTGGCTGCTTTGGGAACAGTAATTTTTCCATCCCTCCCTCTAAATAGGTCTAGTTTCCACAAGAGTTCCACTTCATACTTCTCAAGCTGTATCTAGCTATTCCAGCAAGAGTAAAGTTGACTTATGGGAGCCTGAGCTAATTAAGCCAGAGACAGTTCTGATTAAGGAGACATTTAAAATACGTTTATAGAAGATAAATTTAGTTTCATTTACCATTTATGTTGTTCTCCACAATACAACTCTTTGGTGACATTTCAGCTTTTATGACATTAAACAAGTTTTAAGAGAAATGCAGCAGATAACACTGGTGATTTAATGTGCAGTAGTGGTAGCATTAAGTCTCAAACTCTTTAGATTTCTTCATTAGACAAATGTTCAAGTACCTATAACCATCCATATACAGCCCCCCCACCCCCCAGACCAGCTGTGTCTTGAACGCCTCCAGCAACACAGATTCCACAACCTCTCTGGGCAGCCTATTCCAGCATTTAACCACTCTCCTGCAAAGAAGGTTCCCCTATTGTCTCATCAGACTCGTGTTCCAAAAATACTGTTGCAATTAATCCCAAAAGACGCAACAATACAGTGCAACTAGACTCGACAAAAAGGGTAACTTACTAGAGGGGGCAGTCATCGCCAGAGGGATCTCTGTAGGTACTACAGGCTGAGGAAATAAAAAGCATCACAAAACATCCTACTATCATCTATTCTCAATTTTACACCTACACGCACACAGCTTGAGGACACACCAAGCCCCAAGTATGCTGCTGAAGCACAGGTCCAGGAGGACTTGCTGGCACAACACAGCATTAATGCAACACTCTGTGAAGCACCTTTGCACCTGGGGGCAGTTCAGCATTTCTGAGTTAATTGATGAAGCCTGATTCTTGACCTGGCAGGCCTGAAGAGGTAAGCGCTGGTACACATCCATAGCTACACACAAATCAGCATGAGGCCAGTAGAGTTTACTAGCTCTGGCTCAGCACAGGCCTGCCAGATCCCATCTGGCTCTCCAAGGACACACTCCAGTCTCTCTGCACGGTGATCTGGGCTCCAGAAGGATCTCTCCACTCAGGCACTCCCTCTTGCTACCCCTTGTAATGCACAGCTGGCTGCACGCAGCAGGAGAGCGCCACGGTGCTGTCACTAGCATCGTGCCTTCCCTTACAGCCACCCTGTACACAGAGGCATGGACGGGGGCTGGCATGGGGTGGAACAGTCTTCTTCCTCACTCACTGGGCTCCTACAGTTCAGGAGCAGCCTCTGCATTTAAAAGGCATATGTCCCAAGAAAGAGAATTGGTTTAGAATTTAACTAGGTAAAGAGTATGTGCTTTCTAACCTATTCTAGATGTGCCAACAGAACATGGTTGCATGAGATCACTTCGAGAAATGCTTTCTCTTTGCCTCCCACAGAAGTCCTGACATTAAATGTGCTGCATTTTTTAAAAAAAAAAGACAGCTAATAACATATTCCAGGAGTCTACGTTTTTTAATGTTTCATGGCATGTCTGCATCATTGTTTTACCTTGCTGACTTAACAATGATTCTGCACAACAGAAGGCAGTTACAAAAACAGACTGTCCACATGAAAAGGAGCTTTTCAAAGCTAATTGAAGTTGCTTCCATAAATGGCCAAATAAAAGCAACAAGATAGTAGAAATTGACTCAGTAATTAAGTCTCAGCAGTAAGTCATGTGCATCCAATTCAAAGTGCCAGAGAGCAGGCCTCCTCCCCATGGCTCAGGGAAGATAATTACCCAAGTTGCAATAAGGAAACACAACCCATAAAATAAGACCTTATAGATGTCATTAGTCCAAGCCAGTATTTAAGAATTCATTTATCAGTTTCATTATTTGAAACTGACCTTACAAGCCAAGTCCCCAGAATCACCAATCGCTATGCACCCTGTTTTATGTTCCCCATCTCTTTTTCAACAGCTCTTCGTAAATACATGATCTTTCATGCAGCAAACAGCCGACACTAAAAGAACCAAGCGTAAGAGGGGGGGAAGATACACAGGAGTCCTCATGCTGCTCAGCTAGCACACCTGCTTTACCCTGCTGCTCTAATCTCAAACCTGCCAATCAACAACTAGTGTCCATCTGCCCAAGATACAGACTGGGGCAAGAAAGGCAACAAAAATTTCTAATAGATATTTGTGGTGCTAAACTGTGTATTACCATCTGCCTACAATCACTCCTTACTGGGTCAGGAAAATCTACCTTTCACAGCATTTAATAGAAGAGAAAGAAAAGTAGAGTCAACATACCTGGTTGTGATTTCCAAAGACAAACATGACAAGTAAAACACATCCAAGATCCCAAACAAATCTCAAAGGGAGCCTTGTTTATACAAGCAGTTGACTGCGTCCTTGAATTTGGCCAGTTAAACATACTGGCATAGTGCTGTGTTTCCAGCCTAGGCATTTAAAACAGATCAGTTACCTAAGTTTATAAAGCGCAGGAAGTAGATTATTTATTAGAACAGAACAGTTGTTGAAATCTCACTCCACAAAAACATGTATCTTTTTCTGTGTATTACAGAACCATGTCAGCTACTGCTGGCAGGAAGGCACCAAGTTAATTCTGGATCATTACCACTCCTAATTTCAGTGGCATGCACAGATCTCGTATGATCTACATATACAAAATAATAACACCACCGTCTTTATATTTGGTTCCTAAAATACCTCTAACATGTTTGAATATAGAAAATACTATTTTGTGACAGCTATGATACTGTTATTTCACCTAGATGCTTCATGAAAAACAACAGCTAGACTTGACTGAGTTTCACAGCAGATAGGTCCTAACTTAACGATACTGATTTCTCTATTCCCCACCATGACTTCGACATAGTTTGTGACTAGAAGTGAATCACCTGTGACAGCCAGTATAAATTTATACAGTCAAAAAATTCCGAAGGGGACATCTCACTACAGTATTATCAAAACTAACAACTACGCAAAGCTCATTCTAGTCATCACAGATGTGACCAGGCTGTACAACAGTATTTCATGCCACGATGGCCCTGAAGCCTGCCTAAAGCTCTTTCATGGGAAAGGAGTCAGCTAGTCAGCTCAAACACACTGTCAGTTATTTGTTCACCCTGACCATCAACAACTTTACCCAATACCCTACTAATTATGCTAGAAGATCATACAGTAGTATTTTGAGATAAATCAACCCGCTTTCAATCCAGTTTCTCCATGCTTATTCATACAAACCCCTGACATTGCTGAACCTACCCCAGTTGCAACTTCTCCTCCCCACCCCCTCTTCTCAATGAATTCTTCAAGGGTTTGCAGTCTCTCTTCTGCACTCTTGCCCTGGCCCATCAGGCTGAGTAACCACACATCTCTTCAAAAGGCAAAGTCTACAAACCAACCCACAAATGGTCTCTCAGTGAACTGTTTGCCGTATTGTAGGAATCAAGTTACTTCAGCTGAAAAATGTTTAAGTTTACTCATCATAGCTGCAACACCATTACTGCTGAAAGATTAAAGAAAACCTCCCTTTGGTGCATGTTTCGTGCACAACAATTCTTTGCCAATAAATAGGCTCTTTTTTTCAAGTGCTGGAAAAATGACACAAATAGTGAGAAAAGGAAATGGAGGCAGAGGAACTTAAAATGCAAAAACACCCTTTCCAAAAAGTAGACATGAGAACAGATGTCATACTTGAACATATTTATATAGCTTTTAAAAAAAAAAAAAGCTGACCGTCAGCTGATAGAATGGGGCAACAGCAGCCTCCTTCAATCAAAGGTGAAACAAAAGCTGAACTGGATTAATTCAATCTGATATCCTGCCACAATAAAAAGAACCAGGAATGTAAATGATCCTTGCAGATACAGGCAAAAAGAAAAGTTATATGGACAAATAAATACCCGGAAAATAATGTTAAAAAACTGGCATCCTAACCCTGACACCGAGACAAGTATTTACTAGGTGCATTTCATCTCTAGGATCCTTCTTCAAAACAAATTGCAACTTTTAATAATACAAATGTTGAAAATAAGTTCCAGGTCTACAATCCAACCTCTTGTCTTCTGAGAAGAGCAGTACACTAGTAAGAGGGTTTCTAAAGCTTTCAAGGAAAGTAGCCAGAAGACAGTTTCAGGACCCTTATTACAAACACTCTGGAGGTGATGGTAGCTCACAACTCTACCAGCTGGCCACGCACTGAGTACCAGAAGGTCCTAGTCCCTCCTCTCACATGCATGCAGCTGAGAGTAGGTGGATGATCCAACTTAATCTAAGTGCAAAAAGACACAGGGGAAAGTGGGATGAAATGACAACTCTAACTACTGAATATTTATATTTCAGTTTCTCAAAAGCATTTTACAACGTCAGATAGCTGAAGTATGATTCATTCTGAGGATTCATATCCTTTACTAGTGTGCTTTCTTGACAGAGCCTGCAAACTGTTTAAGTTCTCCCAGTTTTTCAGTTGGAAACTGATTAGAGCAATCCTAAGTATGAAGAAAGATAAAAATGTACAGATATAGAGGGAAGCAGGGAAAGAAAAACAGGAATGCATGAGTTTAAGCAGAAGAATATTGAGGGAGAGACCTTTTTACCAGCATTTTTATTTGTACAGCCTGATAACATACAGCCTGGCATACAAAGGCCCATGCCTGTCCTCTGTACTATTCATGTGCAAAAGAATTCACTTACTAGAGAGAAAAACGTGGTAAAATAGTAGAGGAGAAAAATGAAAGTATAAGGGAGAAACTCAAAGAAAAAAAATCCTCAAAATACAATCCTCAGAGTAAACATACACTCAATTGGCAGTATCAATTAGAAGAACCAACCTGACAAGGGTCATATTTTAAGGAATATAAACTTGTGTTCCAATTTCTTAAGAGAACTAAACTTTAAGTAGATTGTGTCACTAAACCTCCAGCTTCTTTTGTCTCTGGAATTCCTTAATAAAAGTTAAACCATTTCCCCCCCCCCAAGAAATGCCTAAATGTACAATTTCTCATCATAGATAATTATAGCTATGAAACCTTTGTCTACTATATAAAACAGTATTTCAGTGTGACCTTTCACAAGTTACAAATTTTCTGTCTTTTTAACAACAAGTTACAAGGCTGCTTGTGCAGGAAAATATGTAATCTAGAAGAAAGAATGGGAACTCTAGAAGAAAGGGAAATAAGAAAAATAAAAATGTCAATTTGACAGATGAGCTTTAGAGAATCTTGCCATGGCAGTTAAAGACATAATCAGGTAGCTCACTCTCTATCAACCCCATACACTTAGTCCATACAATGTAAGACGTGTCCAGCTCTCTTTCCAACGAAGGGTCCAGCTGGCTAGCTTATGCTGCTAGCTAAAATGGGTTTTTGCTGAGAATACTGTTTGACATTAGAGCTAATCAGATCTAATGGTCAGCTGCTCTGCAAAGGCTGGTCACCTTTCCCAGCCACACATTCGCTGTCACTTCCCCAGCATAAGCCCTGTCACCCAGACCCCACAGAAAGTGGTTCAGAAACAAACTGTCCCCACTTACACAAAAGGTTATCTGCTAATCTGCTTTCCTAAACTGACTCAGCAAGGGGTCAGACTAGAAGCAGTGCCAAAGAGTGAGTGGGAAGGTACAGGCACAATTCTGATGCCTAGCAGTAACTAGCTAGTAACTAGGCTTATCCCTACTGCCAAATTGCACATGAAGGCAGATTCTAAATTGGAGCAAGACAGGCAAAAATCTCTACTGGCTTCACCATGGAGGACAAAATCTGTTCAACTAGCATAAAGCCGTGTTCCACACAGCACTGCGCTAGCTAAAAAGGTAGCGAAATCCTTAGACTGACACAGTATGTAATAATGGACTCAGCCTCCCAGATTTCTATTCTGGAAACTACAAAAAACAAGAATTCAAATTCGTAACACACTTTATAATTTTTATACAGACAGCATTTAGATGTAGTCAAATATCAACCCACTGATGAAATTCCTACCCCTGTCAGGAAAAGAGGTTTGCTTTCATCACTGACAGGAGCAAGACCAGGAATTCAGTCCAATTGTTGATGGCACTCCTGTGAGTTTTCCACTTCCAGATAGAGCATTTGCATAAAACAGAACTTCAAAATACAAACTGCAGATGTTTCTTATTTCACAATTGGCACACAGACTACATATATTACCTCATGCCTGCTATGCTGGCTTCCCTCTTTGTCTTTGGACTCAATGCACTATTCACCCCATAGGAACACAAAAACATATCCTTAGTTTCCATTCACTTCTACAGAGTAACTGCAGAGGAGAAAACTACCTTTTAAACTTGGAAAGTTTATCATTTACAATATGAAGAGGGGGACGTCGAGGAAAATAAACACATTAAGTTATGCTTGAAGTTAATATAAACTTCAAACAGCAAGCCCTCAGGACATGGAGTCAGTTCCTAGAGTCTGTTAAAAAGCTGTACGTTTGTAGATGACCAGCTGAATCCTTCTCTTACCAAAAAGCAGTTAATCATCACAGACTATCATCTGTGTTTCAGTCCTTTTTGCAGCTTAACTTTACCTGTATTCAAAACCATGATCAGGTTAAGTTTTTCTCCAAATTATTTGTTATGCCAACATTTTTCTTACAGAATTACCCTTATTCTTCCCCTTTCTGTTTAAAGGGTTAATTCAATCTCTTCTATGCATAGGGAAAAGTGAAGTAATCACAGCTGCTAGAATGAATAAAAAAAAAAACAAAAAAAAACCTAAATGGTTTTAAGCAGTTCCCACACTTACCAAAGTGGATCAAATACAGGAGTCTAGCAATCTTACTTTTTTGAAAAAAGAGCATATTTTCTGTCCTGCTTGTAATCAGATATCAGACCTAAAGATATCCTTGACGCTAAAATAAATGGCGGAGAAAAAAAAAACACAAAAAAAATGAAACATTTGATCAACTGTAACAATGTTTTTTTCCAGCATTTGTCAAAGAGGTTTAATGTGCATTATACACACAACAGGATCTACTTTAATATGGACATACCAGAGACCAAGCCTTCAGTTTTAGTGCATACTAACAGAAGTATGCACATCATGTAAAACATTGTTACATTTGGGATAAAGGGATAAAATTATGGCTTCACTTAGGCATTAGGAGATTTTCCTTAAAAACTTCCAATGCTCATGTCACAAGGCACAACTTTTCCTCAAGCTAGCTTCACCTTCCACTCGCCTATTCAATGCAAGCAAGGACAATACTATAGAATTTAACAGGAAAGAGCAGTAGTTTTAGAAAAAAAAAAATCCTTCACAGTATACACCATCAACCCTACTTAAGATACTTTCAGTCAAAACCAGTACTTCTCATGTTTCCATCATCACAACTACAGTAATTTTTGATGTAAAACTTCATATTACAAAAATTCTACCAACCACACAGAAGCTGCTTGTTCAATCAGTTTGGTATTTTGGACAAAGTGAACAGAAAGAGGTTAAGATTGCAACTGTTAGCTTTGTTTTCCAGAAAGTCTCTAGTAAAAGTGGTAAAAGTTTTAAGTATTGGTATTTTCAATGTGTTTTAGTGCTTTTAGCTGGGTCACTATACTCCCACTTTGTTTTATTACTCACAGAACCATTAGGCCTCTAATCAGTGCTTGTCATGGAAATTTTACAAAAAAGCATTAATTCTCAACTGTAAGAACATCTCCAAAGGTTCAGAATTGCCAAAAGGTATAAGTAGCTTTGCTGTAGAGTAGGCATTCAGGAGACAAGATACCATCTTTTAAAGAAATACAGACTTGAAAAACAAAGTCTTATTTATTCTGAAACATTTGAAAAAGTTGCAGCTTTCCACACCATTTGGAAACTATGCTACAAAAGGAATAAAGCAGACATTAAAAACATAAGGATACCTTATAAGGAATCTCAGATCCAACTCCGGGATGATTCAAGAATGTTTCTTGTAAGAATCCTACACCACCAGTCTCTTAACATACTAGGAAGTTGAAAGTTTGAAAAGCATCATTTACTTTTCTATTTGTATCTGCTAAGTCTACTTCAGGTATTTTAATCAGTGAAGAGGCAGCATGACCCTTTTCTTGACACTACTTGCACTGCCCTTCCTCACCAAGGCTGAGATAGACTCCTACTACCTCTCCAGTCACTATGCATTATTCTGGACCCGTTTCAACCTGTATGCAAGTCCACTAACTGGTGGAAGCTACTGTCCAATGGGATCAACATCACTTTTTCCTGATCCTCTCTTAATCTTCCTTGGCCTTTATGGTAAATCTGAGGATTAACTATATACTTCCTGATGTCATCAGCACTGGCAAAGCAAGATTGTGCTAGGAGATTTTTCCACTATCGGTCAGCTGAACGAAGAGCCAGATGATTTGACACCAGGTATTCTGCACCCAACTGACATCAGTGTAGATGCTTCCGGCAGTGATATCTCCCACCGGGGTCAGGCAACTGCAAATCTCCCCCTCAGTACTTATTTAACTTTATTATTCTCCTGGTCCAGTTCCCCAAATCAGCTTGTCATAAGGTTGAACAAGCGCTAGAATAGGCACATGGGAAGCAGTAAGGATGCGCAAGCGGAGGTACCCAGAGGTGTGGGAGCAAACCCCCATTAGATTATTTTAGGTGTAAAATGAAATCATGCCCTGCAATCCACCCACATACACCCCTCCAGGCAAAAGCAGGACTTTACCTGTCATATCTTCCCACGTTTCAGGGACTTGAAAGAAAAAAATTCTCAACAGTTGCCCTTCTTTTATTTGTGTTAATGCCTCCTTTTACAGAGGGGCCATTCAATTATCGAAAACCAGCAAAGATCCCTGGGGAATAAGGACAGAAAGATGCAGTGCCCCTTACGGCATGGCTGGTTGCAGAGAAATAGGTCACTTGAGCATAACTGTGCAATCAATAGGATGTTCAAGACCAGGCAACCAAGCCAGATGCTGCAAAGAACTATGCCCAGGGAAAGCTAGCATCCTCAGGAGTGATTCCACAGGGGTCAGCAGTTTCAGAGCACATGAGGGATGATGAGTCAGGATTAACACAAATCTAAGCACACTTGCAAGCCTATTTACACAAGTTACTCCCTGCGGCATGTTCTCCTGTTCTTCAGCCATCCACTTCTGAGCCTCTGCAACCGATCTGCAGTCTCCCATGTGTCACATTTAGAACCTCCTCAACTTGCCCTAGACAGCAAGGAACTCCCATGTGGCAGCCTAAGACAGAAACCAGAACCTTATTACACTTCAGTACACCTTCCAGCACCTTTCCTCAGTGTTGGCAGGAATAAACTTCAGAGCTATACATAGTATTATTCCAGGTCTACCAGAAGAAATACTCAAAACATAATGGCTTCCTCCTTCAGTTCTACCAGGTGCAGGTGCCCTGGCGCTGGCAGGGGGCTGTGGGGCGGCCTCTGTGCGCAGCGGCCGGGGCTGCCCCATGATGGGCACAGACCGTTCCAGCCGGCTCCAACCAACCCACCCACCGCAGGGCATGGCTGAGCCCCACGGCCCAGATGGTGGCACCTCTGGGAAAGCAAGAGTGAAACACTGCCTGGGAGTAATGACGGAGGGGAAAAAAAGCGTGAGAAACACCCCTGCAAGGCCAGAGCAGGAGGGAAGGAGGAGCATGAGCTCTGGGCACCTGAACAGAGATTGCCTGTCAGCCCCTATAGAGACCAGGCTGGAGCAGGGGAAGAGAATGAGAAGGAAGGAGTGTGGAGAGAAGTCACCATGGATTGACCCCCATGGTCACGTCTTCTGGCCATGATGGTAACTGGTATGTAATCTTCCTGTCTTCATCTCAACTCACAAGCTTTTCCATCCTATTTTCACTCCTGTCTTACTGAACCAGTGGCTGGGTGAGCATCTGGCAGCCAGCCAAGGTTAACCCACCACACAAGTCAGGAAGAAAGCCACTTTTTGAATCACATAGCAAATATGCTGAACATGTTTTAAAGGTAACCACAATCACAGTGAGACTGTTTAGTTGTCCGTGTACAATTCCAAGACACATTTGGGCATCTGAGAGACTTACTGACAACTACAACCAAGTTAGCACTTTCTCAGCCAAAGAACAACCAGCATGGGAACTGACAATTAGTTTAACTCTCCAACAATTAAATCACAGGCAAATTACATGATAAAAACGTAACATCCAAAAGAGTACAAGAAGGCAGAGCAGTTAATATTGAACAAGTGTAGTACTATCCCTCTCTTCCTTAACTAACCTGTCTACAACAAACAGGCTTCACTTCCAACAATGGCAGATGATCACCTCTGGCTACAACCTCAGATCATGCAAAAACTATTTGAATAGGAGGCTTTCAGCTATTCTTATCACCATGAATTGTTATTGTATTTAGCAACTTCTCCATATTCTGAAACGCATGGCTTCTTTAACAGCTATTACATGCCTGACTAAAATCTTAGCCTAGATAATTTGCAACTGTAACAAGCAATATTTGGTGGACATAAATCCTAGGCATTCTTTGGAGAAACTACAGGTGCTCTTAACTAGTGCTTCCTTCACCACCATCCCCCAGTGCAGACATGATAGCTCAGTCTGCTTTTTACTATATACTTATTCTGTACAACTATTTAAAATTAATGCATTCTTCTCAAAATCATTAAACATTACTTCTTCCTTTAATTAAAGTTTTAAAAGCACAAACTTACTGAAACTGCAGGTCTATATTGTCAGTAAACATTTAACATACAGTTAACACAGAGGAGATGAGAAAATTGCCAACCCCTAAAACCAACAATATAATACACAGTTACATCTATGACTCTTTTCTTGCTAAGCAGTTAAGACATTCATGTTCTGTACATACTAAAAGAGTGGATACTATGCCCATAAAAGTGAATAACCTGAAGGGGTGAAAAAGAAGGGATTGCTTTTGAAGGGAAGTAACTATCTCCTGTCCACCACCACTCAAACACATAATGGCATTTCACATCGTTGCAATCTGTGGAAGACAGCAAAGGCCATTCTAGCAGCCAGTCTTGCAACTGGAACGTTACATTTTTAAGCTTGGGTGATCAATCTTTACAGTGCACCATATACATACATATACATATCCACACACTTGTAACCAGTAAACAATTGGAAGTCTACCCTTGGTAACACTATCTCACCATTTATTACCTTGCCTAGCCTGCAAAGATTAACCTGCCTTCTCAAGATGCCCTAAGAGCTGTCACATCCCTGGCTGCAGACCTCCTACAGTAGAACAATAAAACTTGTTACATAAACGAAATCACAGATTTCTGTCCCCTCTCCATCCCAAAGGATGAAAAAGAGTGTGTTGGCCCCATCCTCCCCACCCTGACTGGTTGTGAAGCTGCCTGTGAAGTCCATGGGTACCCAAAGGAGGCAGCACCCTATGGGGCTTATAATGTGTTGTGACCTTATTGCTGCTGGCACTTTGAATATGACATCACTAAACAACCTTTCAGACCCATGTGTCACACTCACTGCCAACAAGGGTTAAGTACAAGAACACAGGCGACTTCTGGGATTTGCCTTACAAACAAATGACATTGCCAGGGCTCTAGGAGCAGAGGGGTGCAGGCTACTATTTTTAGGGAGTGTCAAATCACATCTTTTTGAACACCTTCTAGTTTTCACTTCTCACCTTTGTCACCTAAACAGCCAGATTTCCAGACAAATTTCAGTAGTGGTCAACTACTTGTAATATTAGTGGAGAGAAGCTCAACTAGAGGTGGTACAGTTTGCTGAAAGTAATAAATACTTGTGATTTCATTTTAAAGTGTGTTTGTTTCCCTTTCCACAGGCATCTGTTGGGCACATACAGCCTAACTGAATGAGGAACAACACATCTAGATGAACACTTTCATAGTCTTAAAAAGAGTTATTAGCCAACTGTTCATTTGAAAGGATGATCTAGATGAATAAGCAAAGGGCTTGAAATACTGTATACCCTTCACTGCTGCTGTATAAATTCCTGAAGCATAGTGGGTAACTGCTGTCTTTACAGAGGTATAAACTATGCTGCAAGGTTTTCATGAACTGTTAAATGCATCAAGAAGACTGAAAGACTAAGTCAATCATATACATTACAGAAATAGCCACTGAATTTTTCAGGACAGGTACCGAGACTGTAAGAAGCTGAATTTATTTTGTATGGGCAACAAACTTTGTCATTAAATCTGCTGGTTAAACAGGAAGCACCTAGCTATAAAAAAAAAATAAATCTCAGTGGCATGCAAACAAGACAGCACATCTTTTTCAGAGAATGCACTCTTATTGAATTGAAAAGCAAGAACAACTTGGAAATGACAAGAGGGAATAAAACTGGGGGCCACAAATTAAATAGTCACCAAGAGTATCCTTGCCCATTACATTTTAAGAAAATTGGAATTAATTTGAATCTATCACTGAAAATCTGTTTCAGAATGCTTCAGTAGGCACCTATAAGATTTAACAGAAACAGGCTTTCTAAATACCCATACCCATAGATAACTAAACTAGCAAAATAGAATGCTTTTCAGTAATAAACACAGTTTAACAAGAATTAACAAGTTATTAACTGCAATTTTGTCACACCAATATTTAAAAGACAATCAGAATCCACAGCAAGCAGTTGCTATCAAAGAATTAAATGTATTTTGGCAAAAGAAAAATTCCATAAGCTTGAAAAAATAAATGCTTAAACTTCTGCTCCCTAGCAGGATGCTATTGTTCCGTGACAAAATACTTTTCCCATAGACAGCTTCCTTCTCAAAAGAAAAAAAAAATCTAGCCTGGCAATAATGTAATAGCACAGGATCTTGGTAGCCATCATCCCTTCATTAAAATATCTGCATGGATCTAATTAACTTCTTCTTTAGAGGGATTACAAACCTCACAAAACAGCTTCTCGACTCCTTCAACGTAAGTAGTCCCTTCCTTGATCAGTCTATGTTGGAAATCACAATGCATAAATCAGTTCTCAAGGTGAAACCTTTATCTACTTGCTTTCTAAGTAACCACAACTCTCCATTAGATTATCATCTAAAACTAGAGATTTTTCTACAAGTTTTGCTACCTTACACTTCTACAGCTTATAGATAAACATACATTTTGAACTTCGTATTAACCCAGAGCATTTAAAGGGCAGAAGAGGTAGGCAAGGGAAGAAAAGTAACACACAAAATTCATTC